TTAGTGTGCTGTTCATTGGCTAGTTACATTCTAGTTCTTCTGTATGTGGTGGGAAATTAAATTTTCTCACTGGGCTACCTCTTTAACTCTTTTTAAAAAAATATTTTAAGATAGGGCCTTATTGATTGCTGAAAATTACCCTGACTGGGCTTGAGCTTGCAAGTCTCCTGCCTTAGTACCTCAGAGTGCTGAAATTAGAGGCATGTGACACAACACGCAACTTGGCTATCTGTGAAAATGAGGTAGGAATAATGTGGCAGTGCTGGGAAGAGTTGATGGGGACCTTCAATTCTCTATAAAAGCTGTGGCGGCTTGGTTTGACCCTCTACCAGATCTGTCTAATATAAAGCGTACAAGTAGAGAGCCACTATTGAGTGATATTTGGCTGTGGTGACAGTGCACTCTTCCATTCCATACTCCTTTGCTCTACAGATATCATCTGTGGAGGGTCCCACACTAGGCCTAGCCATGTAACTGAACTCTGTACTATGCACTTCTGAGTGGCACAGCTCAGGACAGAAGAGGATTCTGCCAGAGTGGCTCCGGTGCCTGTGGAATCTCAGAAAACAATAGGCGGAGGCAGTTTCTCCTTATGCTTAAAGCAGAGCTTGATGACATCTGACTACAATCGCTCCTCATGCGTCTGCAGCCTGTACTGATCACCCAGTGCCATGGCTGTTTACAGTCTGTGCCAAAGCAGCTGATATGTAATTAACATTATGTCTCGATAGCCTGCTGTTGTTTGCAGCAACTTCAAGTCACGATTCTGACACATCGACAACAAGCAGAGAACACTTGATTCAGGGCCAGAACAACATGGGTATCTCCTTTAGTTTCCAGCGATGTCACACAGTACACGGCCTTTATGAGCAGAGGGCTGTGGATGGCGTCACCCCGTGGCCATTCCTTTAATGTAGTAACATCATTTGCTGCCTCATGATATTAATGATCCACAGTGATTCCTGGTATATCTGTCTTTAGATGAACTGTAGCTGTGTGTATTAATTTAATCACAGCTATATGGCAGAGGAATTCAGAGTCCACAGTGCAGCAGAACTGAATTTGCTTCAGTCTACTCTATATTAGACTTACCCTGAGTAAATTACATCTTTCTGTGCACCAGTTTTCTTTTCTGTATAATGGGGCTAATAACACCTGTCCACATGGCTTATACTGAAGAGTAATAAGGTAATACGTTCACAGTGTTTTTGCATAAATGCTTGAAATTTATATAATAAATTTATTTATTTATAGCAATTATTATGGCAAGAGGTAGGTACTTCATGAAATTTTTGTCTTTTTTACAAAGTATGTAATCCCTGGGACACAGTTATCTGATAGGAGTTAGCACACTTTCAAAGAAATAATTCCATTTGGTCAAATCATAAATACAGTTTTAAAGCTTTTAAAAATTTTAATAGTGTACCACAATATACTATTATAAGTACTTTACATCAACAATATTGTCCTAGTCTAATATTAAACATTGGATAGAGCAAGAAAAACCAAATAAGAAATATATATGTTTAACTTCAGTAAAATTTCAAGTATAGCTTTCAAAATCACTGTTATTTTCCATTTAACTTAAACCCAAATCTATCTTCATTAAAAAAATAAATAAAGCCTATAAGCAGACATGAGAATCTATGGCTCTAAGTATGTTAGGGTCAGGATCTAAGCAGAAACCCAAACACATCTTACTAAGAAGTTAAACCAACACCCAATATTTAACAATTTATTTTTTCACTGATAGACTCCAAGCTAAAGTGATCATTGTGCCTTCAATTTTAATGTTTGTATGAGTCTTTCAGAAGCCTTTGCGCCTCAGTGGCTCCTCGAGTGTTCACTTCGAACAATGACTTTGCAGCTGGCCAAACATGACTCTCAATCAATTTTTATGAGTACAAATTCTTGGGCTGATGGCTGGGTCTCCAGCTCCATCACTCCTATAATACGCTCACACGTGGTGATGAGATTCACATTATCACCAGAGCACCATTCCGCCGATGGCAGCAGCAGACACAGCAGGGGTATTCTGTCCTCCTTACAAAAAAGGACTCCTTCACCTTTCAATAATGCAGCCTGCAGGTAGGGATGCACAAGCTGTGTGTGGATGGAATGAGAGCTGTCTTTAAAAATACTAATGGAAACTACCCAGTTCTCCGGAACGGGTCGTTCTCTTTGAATCATCATACATATCGAACTTGATTTTGAAGTGCATGCATTCAATTTTTCTTCCCATTACATTTAGAATTGAAGATTCAATTGTGTTTAGTACTTCGAAAAGTTGCTAGAGTACTGGCATGTACATTTCAATACATGTAGGCATGGGATTTTCTGTTATATGAGTATAAATACATTGTGTTTACATAGGACTTCAAAGTTTAACATGTTACCATAAATAAAATAAATTGAAATTCATTATGCTTTGGTTTTATTTTCTTGAATTTCAAATATAGATAATGTAGGGTTTCCCACTTGTGTTGACTTGAATTGAATTTTTCCCTTTTAAGATGTAAAATATATATTTTAGTTATTGGAAGACCGTGTAGCTTCATACTTAATCTTCTCCAAAGACATATCAATCTTAAGGTAACTCAATTCCTTCTTTAATTTCTAAACTCTGTAAGGGGCAGTAAGGTATGCATCCTCTGGAACTGTTGCTTCTTGTCATTGTATGTGAGAAAGTAAGAGACATAAGAACATCTTCAAATTTTTCTGATCAAAACCAGGTAGTCCTCATTTGGCCTCTCAAAAAGAACTTACAAAATCTGTTTTTCATGTTGAAATAATTAGTACATTAGAAACTTCTGTGTTTATTTTTGTGGTTCTGGGGCTTGTACTCAAGGCCGTGCGTACACTAGCACACACTCTGTGGCCTCTGAGCTACATCTCCAGAAACTCTTTCAGCCTACTGTCATTTAACTAGGTCTTCAGAGTGACGAATGTCCTTCATTTTCTTTATAACACTTTATACATGATCTGTTGAACACTGGTCGCTCTTGAGTTTTAGTCTCACATTCTTTCATACATATCTCTACCAATTCAACTTCATGCTTGCCAAGACTCAGCCTGGTTTGCTCTGATACTATATGCTGGTAATGAAATCCTATATAAATGTATGAAAAAAACCAGCTTCTACTTCTCTGAAAAAAATAGAGAAATGCTTTGAAAAGGCTTGCCAAAGCCAAAGCCAAACCATTATGATAGACTTGTAAGTTTAGATACAGGCAAGCCACCTGTGCTTTAGGAATAAAATGTCCAGAAAGATCTACATTCAAACTACTTCATAAGTGGACTTAAATTCTCATGCCAATGTAAAGAATAAAAACCTGGAAACTAGAGATTGTCTGATAGATGTGGATTCTGGAAAACAGGTCATTTAGAACTCTGACTAAATCCTTGAGTTTTGGAGCAAAATGTTGACACTGTGCCTTTCATTAAGTAATAGTCCTAACCATATAAAAAAATGTTACAATTCAGCCTAGAATATAATAAGCCAGTGGTTATCATGTAGATAAAACTACATTTCACTGAATTTTTACACTTTTTATGAAGATAGCATGCTGTCAGGGACATCAATAAAGTAATTTTTATCCACTGATTGATGGATGGTTCTGTCTCTGGAAGAGAGCAAATGATAATTTTCCTTCCTTGGCATTTCACCATTTCATTCTGACCTAAACCAGTTAAGCTTGCTTAATGTGTGGAAGGAATCAATGAGATTTTACAGACTGTTTTGTGCTAAAAAAAATACTGAATGATTCTTGTCTCATATATTTCTACCAAGAATGAAATAGCTTGAATGTGCCATGGAATGCACTGATTTTTATGTAGAAAATTAAACTTTAATGTAAATTTAGTTTACTGATTACATTTTAATGAGCAAAGCTTACCCATGATTTCAAATAAGGTCAACCAAAGTGCATATTCCAAAAACCTATATCCCACATTTAGTCACAAATAAACATAGCAGGGAATTTTACTTAAAACATATTTATGAATAAGTAACATAGGTAGCCTACTTGCATAAAAACAAATGATAAATGCCTATCGTTTGTCTACAAAATATCTGAGTCATGTAGGCATAATGAAAGGATGGCCTTGGAATCCCCCAGATCATCAAGATCCGTTCAGGATGTGTCTGGGGTCAAAGGAAGTTTTGTGGCAATATTCAGACATTTTTGCCTTTTTCACACTTTATTGTCTCCTGAGTACACAGCAGAGCTCTCCAGAGACCCCCGCCCACCTGCTGCTGCTCCAGGTTGTACCCAAAACCCAACGGGAGTCCATTAGACTGGACAACAACCACACTGAAAATATAACATGGTGTCACTCACTTCACTAAATTGCTAGCTTGGGAAATAGTCATTTGATATAAAAATGTTACCTGTGTTAGCACACAATGGATTTGTTACATTTTTCTGAAAGAAATGTTTTATAATTTCTCAGTTTTAATTTCTAACACAGTGAATATCAAGATATAACCCCCACACATGCAAGCTTGAGAATTAGCGTGTTCGAGGCACTATGTGTAACAAGAAAAGAATGACTAACCTGAACAAGAACAAAGTAACGTTTTTTCCATCTTTTCCAGACCTTCTGTCCTACAGCATACAGATACCTGGTAAGACAAATAGACAAGGGAAAGGATACATGAGTGATGCGGATCCTATAATCACATCTCTTCCATTGGTATTGAGTTGTGAGACCAGCCCAATAAAACTAAAGTTTGGTTCATTGGGGATCTGGGACAGCATGTGGCTTCCGTGTTATGAAATGCCTGAGCTTAGTCTAGGTTCTTGGAGGGAAATTGATTTATGTGGCTCATCAGTCTGGCAGTCCTAACCACAAATTGAACGAAGTAGGAGTTAGAGAGGATAATCAGCGAACCAGTTGGAATTTTATTCTTACACACACTTTGTGGGAGACACAAAGGCTATGAATTGAGGACATGGCACCAAAGGCCGTAGTTCGTGGATGAGTAAAGCCGAGTAGTGTGGCTCAAGAAAAGGAGCAGGCTGTGGGGCCAAGAATGCAGGGTGCAGGGTCACTGTCCAGCTGGGTGACCTCCGGATGGCCCTGTGCCAATCCCAGTCTTCACGTCCTCACCTACCAAATGGCAGGATTGGATTATGTGATTTTCCAGGTTCCTGCTAAATCCATCAACTTGAGATTTATGTGACTTAGGGAAACATCCCACTGCACATTATTTAAAAAAAAAACACTGTAAGGTAATACTATTTCAAACATACATTTTAATTTTGCATGAATATAATCTGAATTAGCTTTGATCAATCATTTGAGAATTGAACTTCTGTTTTTAATAAGTGTATTAAAGATATACTGTATCCAGGGACGCAAAAAAAGAAATTAATCAAGGACGAATCTGATGTGGAGTGAGCTGCCTTGAAATCATGCTGTAAAACTGTACACTTACTTTGTATAAAAGTGGAAATAGCAGTCTAATTTTTCAATAAATACTTTTTCAACATTTTATTACAATTCTTATTTCGTAGAGAGGAAGTTTAATAATGCTGAGGCTTCTTAAACTCACTTAATCTATATGCAACCATAAAATAATAAAAGGCATCACAACTGTGAATTTATTTAGTGCGTCCAGCCTCTAGGCTGGTGAGGCAAGACCTTCTAGAGGAGAGTTCACAAACTATAACACAAAACCCACTTATTCATCACAAAGTGGCCAAACTGCAATTAAACCTGAACGCTGAGGTTTTAGGTTAGGAAAAAAAAAAATACATGTGCCCTGCCTCTATCATGTGCTCACACTGTTTATAGCTGAGAGTTTAGTTGAATTGCATAGTTTCTGTCTCTTTCAGAAAATAAAATCTTTTTTGCTCCCTTAAAAAGTAAAATGAGACAGTGGGTAAGGTGCGGTGAAACGAGTGATCACTTTTACTACCAGTGGCACTGTGACAGGAGCCCAGTGTGACAATATGTTCAAATGACCCGATCTTTTCATTCTGGGATTATCAAGATAATGGTGATGTACACAAAGATATATTCTACACGGCACACAAAGCAAGTATTTACATTACTGAAAACTGGTAATGAATTCGATGTCTAATGGCAAGGGAATGGTTTATCAAATGCTGGCCTGCCCAGAGAAAGAATTCCTTTACTGGCACTGAAATCATGTTTTTCTTACAATAAAATTAGTGACAGAAAGCATGTTACCACATATTATTACATGAAGGAGAGCAGGATTCAATACCACACCCATACTTAACAGTTTTAAATTTCTATGGAAATACATATAAAATAAATATTTCAAAATATTAAGAAGATTTTTGGGGAGTGGAATTATAGACTATTTAAGTATCCTTTATTCTTTGTACTTCCTAAATTTTCATAATCAGGGAAAACACACAATTACTGAGAGTCAGAATAAAAACAACCATGCTCCTGTATTGGAAGAATCACGGAATAGTCCAAGTCAGTTACGTGCTTGCTTTCAGAGACACCAGCTAGCAGAAGCGTCCGGTGAGCCGTACTGGCTCCCACGATAGTCTCAGCACATCATCTGTGCTCGTGGATACGTTCATTTATTTAGTAACTGCAGAGATGTCCACGGCCCTCGTTCTCACCTGCTCACTGTCTCTTTCTCAAGGTCCCTTTAAAACTCTTTGCACACCTTTGCTCTAGCCTTTAATTTCTCCTTCGTGTCCCCGTGATGGGTGTTCAGCTGCTCTCTTGCTGTCTTTCCTATATAATTTCCCTTCCCTGAAATGCACACACCCACGCTTCTATTACAGGGTTAACAGCCATGACCTCAGGAGCTAAATGCTGTGGACGTGACAGCTGCCCGCTTATAAAAGTGAACTAGCACTATGTGTGCACCTAACCGCCACCCAGGAGCCACGGAGGCCACTGTCAACCACCTCTGCCTGTGGCCACGGTGTGCTTTTCAGCTTTTTCAAAGTGCCTCCCTTAGCAGACTGCTGGGCTCCTGGGTCACACATAATGAATGTGAACAGTGCTGTGCCAACTATCAGCGCCACAAGCAAGTTCTTATGAATACCACAGATAGTGAAAGTCCATGAACCAGCTAGTCAGCAGCAGCAACACTCAGAATGGTAGATTAACAATGGGGAGTGAAATTAGATGGCTTCTCTGAAGACAGCCGAGGAATAGTTGGATACAGACCTGTGTATCCCGGAACATTGCATTAGTGAAAGATGCTCAAAACTGAAAAACTAAATGAATTCATTAGGTTTCAACTACACACAGAAGGAAGAATCTTACCAACTTTTCACCTATGGAAACATAAATAATATTAAACATTAGATTACTTACAAAGAAACATTATGAAAGACAGGCAGAAAAACATAAACTTCTGTGTTTTTAATGTTTTCATGTTAGTTGGACAAACTTCTGATGGAAAAAAGACATGAATAAATTACATTTGAAAAGGTAACTCTGCTGAGGATACTGTAGGAAATTTGTACATTAAGTTTTATTTCCATAAGTCTGTTTTTTTTTCTTGTTTTTGGTCATAAGGATGAGTTCTGGAATTAGATAAAAGGCACCACTGTGTACTTGCTTTCTTGTCAGTATAAATGTGGATTTCTGAAATGAGAGTTGTGTTTTTTAAAAAGGAAAGAATGAAAAAAAAATTCACCAATACTGTTCATGTATACAAATTCAAAAACAATCTAAGGCTCAATAGTTACAAATGATTAGTTTTCCATTAAAAATGATGGCAAAGACAGTTGCTAATGAAATGAGGAAATTTTTATGTTAATTTTTTAAAAAAATACTCAGATGTGCTTATTCTGTATGAATAGAAGATGCACCAAAATATCAAACTTGCAGTTAATATTTGGCCAGTGAGATTAGTAATAAATTCAGTATTCTTTATTATGTCTTTATGCACTTCCATAATTTCTCTAATGACTTGTATTTTTACTTCTGTGTTTAGTAAGGCTTCCTGCTATGCTTAAAATGAAGTACAATTCACCTGTTGAAGAGGTACCATTTGAGGTCTGTCTAAGCAGCCACGAAACCATGACTATGAACACCTCACAGCGTGCTTCCATCTTCCCTCAGCTTCCCCATGCTCTTATGTTTATTCCCTCCCCACATTCCTTATTCTGGAAATCACTGATTTGATTCATGAGTTTATACTATTTTCTCGAATACATAAAATTGAA